CCTGGTGAAGATGCCCACTGGCTGGCCGGGCACCAGAAGGTGCCTGCCTGTGCCTGCGCCCTGTCGGAGCCCCAGGCCCTGGGGGGGAGCGGCCCCGTGTTAGGAGACTGCGTCCAGGCCGCAGCGGGCCCCACTGCCCTTCTCCCCGGAGGCGCTGGGACTGTCCTCCTTTCCCCGGGGGTGGGGGACCGCCCCTCACCAGGCGGGATTTCACGGGGGCCAGGCCGGGCAGGAGGGCAGCGGGGCTGTCACACCGCCCGGCCAGCGGTCCTGCTGCAGGAGCACAGAGCACGGGGTTTCCCGGTCTGTCCGTCCGGCCTTTGGCCCCGCACACCCGTCCCTCCGCGGGAAGGGGAGCCTCTGGGCCCCCCTCAGTGACCTGGGGGCCCAGCCAAGCAGCCTGGTGCAGCCCGCACCCCGGTTGGTCAGAGGGGTCCCGGGCTGCTGTATGGGTCTGTGCCGGAGCCAGTCCCTCCGCCCAGTGCGCGGTCTGCTGGGGGGCGGGGGGGCGGGGTGGGACCCCCTAAGGGATGCAGCGCCGGCTGCGGTGATGGGAGGTGCAGGGTCAGGTGCCACGGCCCCAGGGAGGGCAGAGCTGCCGCGGGGACCGCACCCCGAGCCCCAGCCCGCTGCTCCGCCTGTGACGCTGGCCGCTGCTTGCCGGCCTAAGCCCTCACTGAGCGCCTGGCTCAGGCACCGCACAGGCCCCGTCACTGATGCTGCGGCCACGAGGCCAGGCTCACGTGGCGGCGATGGCGGCGGCGGTGGTGGGGCCGGTGGGACCCGGGCAGCCTGTCCTCCTCCCTGTGGGCCCTGGGGTCTGTGCCTGTTGTCGGGGGGCAGGACGGCGCTGAGGGAGGGGCAATTGGGGCGGCTCCTGGGGGGGTGTCCTGTGCCCCTGAGCCGGCGGCACCCAGCGGGCCGGACTGGAGGGGGCATTGCAGGAGGCCGGCCCCGGGCTTTCTGGCCGGGAGGTGCGTGTTTGTAAACAGCCCCAGCCACCCACACACGCAGAAATGCGGGCATGCGGGCTGGCAGCAGGTGGCCCGGCCCTGCCACTCCACGCGGCCGCCGCAGGTCAAGGCTCTGGGAGTTCTAGAACTTTCCCGCCGCGGGAGGGGGCGTGCCGGCCGCCCGCACTCCGGCCTCGCTCCTTCCCGGCTCTGCCTGGGAGCAGCCGGGGAGCAGCCGGGGTGAGTGCGGCGCCGGGGCCAGGCGCTGGGGGGGGGGGGAGCAGCGGGGCCCCTGCCCGGGGGCGGGCGCGGGGGCGGGGGTCTGCACAGGCCCGGGGGCGGGGCCTTGGCTGGGGGGGTAGCAGGAATGCCCGCGGGGCGGGCGGGAGGGCCGGACGCCAGAGGGCGGCCGAGCACAGGAAGGGAAGTGGGGCGGCTGTGCCGGGGCTTCCCGCCGCCGCTCCAGGCGGTGCCCGCGGCCCGGGCGGGAGGGGGAGGCCCGGGGCGCTGGGGGCGGCGGCGGGAGGGAGGGAGGGAGGGGGGCGGGCACGTGCAGGGCCGGGGGGGAGAGGGGGGCGGGGCGACGTGGACTCGGCGCCTGGGAAGCCCCAGCGGCGTTTCCTGGGAAACCACCCCGGGGCCTGCGGTCTGACTCCGCCTGCGGCCTCAGCCCCCGGGGCCAGCGGAGGGGCCTGCTTCTGGGGGCGGTGCTGGTGCCGTGGGCGTGTCATTTCTCGGGGGGGGGGGTGCCCAGAGGGGCTTGTGGGTCCCCCGGCCCCCCGTCCCCTCCGTCCTGCCCACCTGCTGCTCTGGGCCCCCACGGGCCTCCTGTGCACGTGGGTCCCGGTGGCGGTGGTGGGCATCCTTCACCTGCCTGGCAGCCGGGCACGTTCTCTGGAGACGGGGCTGTTCTGATCCTTTGCGTTTAAAAAAAATTATATATATATATAGATATAGATAGATATAGGTAGATATAGATAGGTTTCAGAGAGGAAGGGAGAGGGACAGAGAGACACCAAGGATGAGAGGACCGTGGTCTCTGCCTCCCGCACGCCCCCACGGGCGGGAGCCCGCCAGCCGGCCGGTGCCCTCCTGCTCCCCGTGGGCCTCCACGCCGAGCCGGCCGCCCTTGAACTTCTGTCTGGAAGGAGGGCTTAGGGCCAGGAGCTCCTCTGGGGGGAGGACAGTGAGGGGGCAGGGGTGGGCAGGCAGCCACGGGATCTGGTGAGCAGGGGCGGGAGGGGCAGTGGTTGGGGGTGACCCGGAGGTCAGGGGGGCAGGTGGGGGGAGCGGGGTCTGGGGCAGGAGGGCAGGGGGCAGAGCAGACGGAGGGAGAAGCGGCGGCCGGCCGGCAGTAGCAGCAGGCGGTGATGGTGACGGGTGACGGGTAACGGCGGGCAGGCTGCCAGGAGGTGGGCGGCCGCTAATAGCGCAATAACAGTAATTTGTCTGCAGCTCCCAGCCCCGGCCGGCAGCCCTGCTGCTAATTGGGCCGCCCCAGGGCCCGGGTGGCTGGGAGTGGACTGGGGGGCTCTGAGCTTCCGGCTGAGAACTGGGGAGCCGGGTGGGAGCCCCCGTGCAGCCTCAGAGGTGGTCCTCTGCCCGGCCACAGCCCTGGCTCCCTCTGTGCAGCCACCCCGGGGGGAGGGACAGCCCCGCACCCCGAGGTCCTGGCGAGGCCTCCGCTGCTGGGAGCGAGCGAGGGAGCAAGCGGGAGTGGGTCGCATGCAGAGAATGCGCCCCCCTCCCTTTTAATTTTTTTGTGCAATCTTCAGTTTTTTTTGTTTTTATTGATTTCAGAGGGGAAGGGAGAGGGACGAGAGAGGAATATCAATGATGGGCCTCCTGCACGCCCCACCACCACCACCTGGGCATGTCCCCTTGACTGGACTCGAACCCGGGACCCCACAGCCAGCGGCTCTGTCCACTGAGCCGCGGCAGCCAGGCGAGCATGCCCTTGACCTCCCCGGGCCCTCGCAGGCAGCTCGCACCTTCCCGGTCCTCACTCGGGCTCTGTGGGCACCTGCAGGGGGCCCGGTGCGCGCGGGTCCCTGAGGCCCAGGCCACACCGTCCTGTCCCGGACCCACCCCCTGTGCGGGAGCCAGGCCCTCCGCCTGCAGGCTCTCCGGACGGGGAACAGGAGCCTGGGAGCCGCTGCCATGGCCATGCGGCGGGGCACCCGCACAGATTTCTCCGGGCTGGCCTCTGCCGGAGATAAGACTTCCTCCTGCAGCGGCACGTCCCCCGGGAGGGGAGGGAAGAGGAGGGGAGGGGAGGGGAGGGGAGGACAGAGGAGGGGAGGGGAGGGCAGAGGGTTCCCGCTCCCGGAAGAGGGCTGAGCACTGGCTGTACCTGCCGCGGCCTTGGAGTCCAGATTAACCGGCCTGGTGGCTGCTCCGGGCGCCTGTTCCTCAGGCCCAGCCTCCCGCCCCGTCCCCTTCCCCGTCTCCCGGCCCTCCGCAGGGGAACCGCGTGCGCCTGGAGTTTCCGTGGGGGCCTCTGCCGTGGGCTCCTGGCCGGGAGCACCTGCGGGACGCGGGTCTTGGGCGGCCAGCCGTGCCCGCTGCAGACAGGACCCCCCCTCCCCCGGCTCCCTGGGGGCTCGGCGGGGAAGCCCCTGCAGACGGGTTTGGTCCCCCCGCACCCCCACCCCACCTCCCCACCCCCACCCTATCCCCCCACCCGCTGGCAGCTTCTATCCGTGCTTCCCCACGCATAGTGTTTACGTGCAAACAGAAGACCTTGCACCTCTTGAATGAGCCGCACACGCTGCATCCTCCCCTTTACTAGCATGCGGTTCCCTCCCCTCTTCCCGCCGGCAGCCGGCAGCCTGACACCCAGTACTAGCCCCTCGGCCCGGCCCTTTGTGGCCGCCCCTCGCCCGCCCCCAGGTCCTCTCTGGTTTCCCTGACACCTGCGTGGCCCGGGCTCACCTGGGGCAGAGCCGCGGCCTCACCTGGTGCCCGCTTCCCCTCCAAGGACCGGCCAGGCCGTTTCTCCAGCGGCTGCGGGGCGACCCGGCGTGGCCCCGTGTCCACCAGGCGTGGCCTGAGTGCCCAAGATGGTCATTTTAAAATATATTTTTACCGACGTTAGAGAGGAAGGAGGAGGGAGAAACATCGATGAGAATCACTGATGGGCTGCCCCTCCCGCCCCCGCTGGGATGGAGCCCACAGCCTGGCCTGTGCCCGGAGCGGGACCTGAGGGGTGATGCTCAGCCTGTGCCACCCAGGCAGGCTGCCCTGCCACTGCCCCATGCCATGCCCAGTCCCCGTGGCCACCAGAATGCCCCTTCCCACAGGGCCCTCCGCCATCAGGTGCGGATGGGAGAGGAGGCCTTAAGAAGCTACACTCGCTCTCCCGCCGTCAGCAGGCGGGCAGCTGTCCCCCGGTGGTGCCACCGTGGGCGCCCCCGATGCCCTCCGCGGGGCCCCGGCTCCTCCGTTTCCCTGACCCGAGTCCGCGCTGGACTGACTTCCTCTGGTGCAGGAGCCAGTGTTCTCCCTCCAGGAGCGGGCGGAGGGTCACCGGCCAGGGCCGCCTCCACCGGCCGGGGCAGCAGGGCCCCGCGGTTCCACCTGCCGCAGCCCGCGCGGGTGCTGGGCGCCCCGGGCTCGGGGCCACTGGGGGGGGAGGGTAGTGGCCCATCACACCCCGGGAAGGGCCCGCGTCCTCAGCCCCGCGCCCACGCGTGACTGGCTCCGCCGTGTGCCCATCGGCTAGGCAGTGATGGTGCCCCTTCAGGCCCCGCAGATCTCTCCGGACTTTACGGCCCCGCGGGGCTGGTGCCTGAGGACGCGGGGAGGCCCGGGGCTGCGTGTCCGCAGGTCTCTGCCCGTGGGAAGGCGGTGTCCCTGGAGGCCGGTGGCTCCGGGCGGTGCCGCCGGGCTGGTCCCCCGTCCGGCGGGGACGAGGGGGCCGTTTCCCACCGTCCCTGCCCGCAGGGCCACGCGGGCGCTCGTGGCTCCGGCGCCGAGGGCGCGGGGGAGGCCCACCGCCCCGCCCAGCCGTGACCTCGGCCTGTCCGCCCCTCACAGGGACGCACCATGGAGCTGCGGGAGGAGGCCTGGTCTCCGGGGCCGCTGGACTCCGAGGACCAGCAGATGGCCAGCCACGAGAACCCAGGTGAGCGGCCCTGCCCGGCCTGGCCCCGGTCCCCGGGCCCCCCACCTCCCCGGCCCTCCCGGCCCTCGCTAGGGGTGCGCCTGCTCGCCCTTCCCCAGCGGCAGGAAGCTTAAGGCCGGGCCGCAGACCCGGTGCGGGCAGGGGGCGGGCCGGGGCGAGCCTGCCGCGGGGCATGCCGGGACCGGCGGGGGGCGGGCACCGGGTGCCGGGGGACTCCCTTAGACGTGGGAGCGGGGCCGCTCCGTGCAGCTCGCCCTCCGCGGCGGCCCCCTCCGGGCTCACCTGCTGCCCAGGGGCCTCGGCCGACCCGCTGCCACGTGGTCGCAAACGCTGCCGGAAAGGCCTGTGCGGCAGCACTTCCGGTCCCCAGGCCCCGCCCACCCCGGGAGCGGAAGTGAGGTGGGGCGGAGAGCGGTCCCGCAGCCCCCGTGCCCCGCCCGCCACGCACCCGCCCCAGAGGCCGCCCCCGCGCCCCCAGCTCCCAGGGCCGTGGGTTCATTTCCCGCGGCATTCAAAACCCCGAAAAAATAAATGAAAACCCTGCACTTCATCCGGTTTCACCTGCGGCCCGCCACTACAGTGGTTCTCAACCTTCCTAAGGCTTTTAATCTAATAAATCTGTATCGTTCAGATCATTACAGGCGTACCTCTTTCCCCCATAGCCCCCGCCACCTGGTCCCCCCCCACCGTCCTCACCCATAGGTGTACGGTTTTTGTCCAGTCTCTTCCCCCCGATAATTATCAATCCACTCCCTTCCTTTGCCCCTGATGTCATTACATTCACCAGTTTATTCTGTTCCTCCATTTTGTTTTGTTTTAAAATATATTTTTATTGATTTTTGCACAGAGAGGAAGGGAGAGAGATAGAGAATTAGAACATCGATGAGAGAGAGAGTCATCGATCAGCTGCCTCTTGCACACCCCCCACTGGGGATATGCCGGCATCCAAGGTACAAGCCCTTGACCGGAATCGAACCCGGGACCCTTCAGTCCCCAAGCCGACGCTCTATCCATTGAGCCAAACCGGTCTCGGCTGTTCCTCTGGTTTTTTATTCACTTGGTTTTTAGATTCACTTGTTGATAGACATGTATTTGTTGTTCATAATTTTTATGTTTGCATTTTTCTTCTTCCTCTTCTTAAAGAATACCTTCCAGCATTTCAAATAACCCTGGTTTGGCGGTGATGAACTCCTTTAGCTTTTTCTGATCTGAGAAGCTCTTTATCTGCCCTTCCGTTCCCCTAGTCTCGCAGCCCCGCGTGGCTCCCTAGCGAGCGTATAAAGGCTAACCGCCCCTGCGAGGCGTGGGGATGTGGGATACCCAGGGAAAACTGAGCACAGTTACCACCTCCAAAGATCACCACAGTCCCAGCGCCCACAGCCAGCCACCGGCGGCCATGTTTGCAGTCCTGGGTCTCAGGCACTGAGGAATAATAACCTTTGTAAACCATGCAGTGGGCCATGGGCTGGCAGCACAATGGGGAGACTTACCGAGTTTCCAGGTCTCGTTCTGGAAACTGAGGCAACTTCCCTATTGTTTAAGCGAGCAGGTGGGCTCAGAGGCCAGAACAGCGGGTCAAAGTTTAACGGGTGCCGAGATGAACGCTGTTGTGCTTCATTGCTGCAGTACCAGAGGGTCCCTGTGCCCCAAATAGAGCAGCCACAGCCTGCGGCCCAGGCGTCTGCGCATCAGTCCTCGCATGTTGCCAGCGGGGCGCAGGCCCAGGGTGGAGTGTTTGTGTGTGTGTGTGTGTGTGTGTGTGTGTGTGGGAGGGGGGGAAGTGAGCGCGTTAACAAAGCCCAGGGGCCGGGCTTGCTGCCACGCACCATGCCAGGGGGTGAAGGGGGGGCGGGGGGATAGGGGACAGGCAGCCGGCAGCCGGCGGCTCCTGCGGAAGGCCCCGCGGTGCCGGCCGCTGACCCCGCCCCCGCTCTGCCTTCCTTCCAGTGGACATCCTCATCATGGACGATGACGACGTGCCCACCTGGCCCCCCACCAAGCTGTCCCCGCCCCCGTCGGCGCCCCCGGCCGGCCCCCCGCCGCGCCCGCGCCCGCCCGCGCCCTACATCTGCAACGAGTGCGGCAAGAGCTTCAGCCACTGGTCCAAGCTGACGCGGCACCAGCGCACGCACACGGGCGAGCGGCCCAACGCCTGCACCGACTGCGGCAAGACCTTCTCGCAGAGCTCGCACCTGGTGCAGCACCGCCGCATCCACACGGGCGAGAAGCCCTACGCCTGCTCCGAGTGCGGCAAGCGCTTCAGCTGGAGCTCCAACCTCATGCAGCACCAGCGCATCCACACGGGCGAGAAGCCCTACGCCTGCCCCGACTGCGGCCGCAGCTTCACGCAGAGCAAGAGCCTGGCCAAGCACCGGCGCTCGCACAGCGGCCTCAAGCCCTTCGTGTGCCCGCGCTGTGGCCGCGGCTTCAGCCAGCCCAAGAGCCTGGCGCGCCACCTGCGCCTGCACCCCGAGCTGGCGGGGCCCGGCGTGGCGGCCAAGGTGCTGGCGGCCAGCGTGCGGCGCGCCAAGGCGCCCGGCGACGAGGCGGCGGCGGCGGACGGCGAGCTCGCCATCCCCGTGGGCGACGGCGACGGCATCCTCGTGGTGGGCGCGGCCGGCGAGGGCGCGGCGGGCGCGGCGGGCGCGGGCGGCGCGGGGGCCAGGGCGCCGGGGCCGCGCTCCCGCCGCGCGCCCGCGCCCAAGCCCTACGTGTGCGCCGAGTGCGGCCAGGGCTTCGCGCACGCGGCCGCGCTCCTGGCGCACCAGCGCGCGCAGCACGGGGACGCGCCCGCGGGCGGCGAGGAGCCGGCGCACATCTGCGTGGAGTGCGGCGAGGGCTTCGTGCAGGGCGCGGCGCTGCGCCGGCACAAGCGGGTGCACGCGGTGGGCGCGCCCTCCGTCTGCAGCCGCTGCGGACAGAGCTTCTACCGCGCCGGCGGCGGCGGCGACGAGGAGGACGGCGGGGCCGAGGCGGCGGGCGGCCGCTGCAGCGAGTGCCGCGGCGGGGACGCCCGGTAGGGGCGGGGGCCCCTCGGGCTCGGCGGCAGCGGCGGCGGCGCAGGACCCAGAGACCCGGGGGGGACACGGACCGAGGGGCCCGGAGCCGCAGCGGCCGCCCTCCCCGGCCCGCTGCGCCCTCCCCGCCGAGCGCGGACCTGGACCGGCCGCCCCCCCGTGGGTTCTCGGCGGAGCCCGAGAGGCGATGCGAACCAGCGACCAAGCGGCGACAAGTCCCCCGTGGACCCCGCGCCCGCTCTCCCGCCCCTCCAGGGGGCGCGGCAGAGCCGGAGCCACGGGCCCCCGCAGTCAGGGGGCCCAGGAGGCAGGGGAAGGGGGTCCTTCTCCCTTTTAGAGTTTTCTTTTCATTGTACCCGCCCCGCCCCGCCCCGTTACTTTCCCCCTCCCGCCGCCCCGCCCTCTCTCTCCACCCCGCCCTCCCCGGCCCGGGCCCGGGCGCAGAGCCGAGGGCCCCGGAGAGCCGTCTGTTCCCTGGCCGGGCGCGTGGAGGGGGTGCGGGCCAATAAAGGGCGCTGTCCGACCGTCCGTGTGCCTGTCCTTCACTGGGGGAGAGGCGCGCGGAGCGGGGGCCGCGCGGACCCGGTGCGGGCTGCGCGGGGTCCCTGGAGGGGGGCCGCCAGCCGGCCCCTGAGGGAGCGCAGATGGGGGGGGAGGCTAAGGGGCGGGGAGGGCCTCACTGCCGCTTTGTTGCTAATCGCCGCCGGAGGGCACTTCCCTTTGATCTCCGGGGAGAGAGGAAAGGGAAACCGGGACGTGAGACACGGGGATGAGTCGCATCCTGCTCGCGCGGGACAGGGCCCCTGGCCGGAACAGAACCCGTGACCCTTCACTCCCAGGCCGAGGTTCGACCACTGAGCCAAACGGGCCGGGGCCACTGCCGCTTCCTAAGCTCACCTTCCGGGGCGGGGGCAGGGGGCGTCCTCTCTGCGGGGCGCCCCGGGGACCGGCCGGGGCCAGCTCCCTCCTCATCCCCCGACGGGGCGGGCGGGAAGGCGGCCATCGCCCAGCGTCAGGGCGACCCTGGAGCAGGAACAGGGACCTGCGGGCGGTTACGGCTGCCAAGGGGCCCACCCGAGGGGCCAGCCAGCGGGGAGGGGACCGACGCCTGCTGTCCAGGGCCTGGCCGGGTCCCCCAAGTCCCTGCAGCGTGTCCTGCAGGGGAGGGCAGCTGGGTGGGGGCTCGTCTGGGTGGGGCTCTCTGATGCTCCTCCGGCTTCTGGAACCCAAGGCCAGGGGACCCGTGTCCCCGCGATCCGGGAGGCGTCCCCTGGCTGCCCTCTGGGGGGCGCCCTGCCTGGGGGTATCGGGCGGGCTGGACGGCCGCGGTTGTGCAGAGGCCGCTGGGGGAGGGGGAGGATGGGGTGGGAGGGCGGGGAGAGGGTGCTGGCAGCAGAGGGAGGGCTGGAGGAGGAAGTGACGTTTGGGGTGAGTCCTCTGCCACCTGGCAGAGGCGCGGCCGCCCCGGGCCTGGTTTTGGGTCGGAAAGGCCCGTTTCCGACGGCCGCCACCTGCTTGGAATGGGTTCCGTTTCTATTGAGAACTCAGGTCACTTTAAAGCGGGGAGGGGCGGGCCCTGGCGGGCAACTCAGTGGTTAGAGCGTTGGCCCGCCCATCCAAGGGTCGCAGGTTCGATTCCTGGTCAAGGGCACTTACCTTGATTGCACGTATGGGGGGGCAGGGGGCACTGTGCCAGAGGCAACCCATCTGTGTCCCTTTCACACCGATGTCTGTCTCTCTTCCCCCCATCCCCCTCCACTCTCTAAAAATCAATGGGGAAATACCCTCAGGGCAGCAGTAACAGCAACAACACAAATCTGGCTTCTGGCTTCTCTCGGGACAGTTTGCCTGGCCACGCTGGGGATTGTATGGAAGGGGACACTTGGTCTGAGGGGTGTGTGCGTCCTTCAGGGTCAGACACCCCCAGCCCAGGGGCAGGGGTGCCGGGGGCTCTTCGCCACCTGCAGGCCCAACCCACGTTGGGTTTCTCTCCCAGTTGGTAGGGCTGGTTCTGGGGGCCCAAGGGGATGGCCTCTGGGGTAAACGCTACACACGTACAACCGAGGGGAGCACCTACAGGTTACACACACGTATGTACCACGTCCTGTCACATAAGGGACTCAGCATCCACGGATTGTCCGGGAACCAATCCATCAACGGCTACTGAGGGACAACTATACGCATCTTTTTAAAAATATATTTTATTGATTTTTTTACAGAGAGGAAGGGAGAGGGATAGAGAGCTAGAAACATCGATGAGAGAGAAATATCCATCAGCTGCCTCCTGCACACCCCCCACAGGGGATGGGCCCACAACCAAGGCACATGCCCTTGACCGGGATCAAACCTGGGACCCTTCAGTCCACAGGCCGACGCTCTATCCACCGAGCCAAACCGGTTTTGACTATACACTTTATATATATATATATATATATATATATATATATATATATATATATATATATATATATATATATATGTATTTTGAGTGGTATATACTTGCCATTTCTTTAAAAAATATATATTTCATTGATTTTCTACAGAGAAAAAAGGAGAGAGCTAGAAACATCGATGAGAGAGAAACACTGACCAGCTGCCTCTTGCACACCCCCTACCGGGGATGTGCCCGCAACCAACGTACATGCCCCTGACCGGAATCGAACCTGGGACCTTTCAGTCCGCACACAGACGCTCTATCCACTGAGCCAAACCGGTTTCGGCTCAAGGGGTGTTTATGGCCTCCATCTCGGCTCCTCTCCTGCCGGCGTGTTCAAAGCCTACCCAAGAACTTCCCCCAACTGCCCCCCCCCCCCCCCCAATTCCCCGGCCCTGGCCTCCAGGGCGAGCCTTCAGCACCATGGACAGAGCCCGTTGCGGGTCTGAGTGACAGCTCCGCTCGGCTCTCTCCATCACCTAAGACCCTGGAGGATGCATCGCCCCATTTCACAGAGGGGAAGACGGAGGCTTCGGGGAGGGTGTCTCCCCCAGGCGCTCCCAGGCGGCAGGCAGGCAGAACGTAAACGGCTGAACGGGACGCCCGCAGCCACCCCGGTCCATCCGCTCGTGCAAAGCAGGGACCCTTCTGCTGGCTCACAGATGGGGCCTCTGGCTCAGGAACAGGTACGTTTGGTCACAAAGGAGACTTTTTAAAGAGGGAACGGCCCAGCCGGGGGTAGCTCAGTGGTTGAACCAAGAGCTCACCGGTTCAATTTCCGGTCAGGGGCCCAGTCCCCAGTGTGTGTGTGTGTGTGTGTGTGTATGTGTGTGTGTGTGCAGGAGGCAGCCGGCCCATGGTTCTCTCTCATCACGGATGTTTCTCTTTCTCTCATTCTCCGTCTCTGAAATCAATAAATACATTTTTTAAAAAAGTAAAATATATGAAGCACCCCGGACACGTCTGCCGAATGCTCAGGGTTTATTGGGTCCCCGCTGCAGGCTCGGAGGGGGAGAGGCAGTGCCGAGCCGCTCGCTCGGTCTGGGTCCTACATCCGGGGCGGACGCGGTACATCCGGGCCCCCGCAGTGAGGCTCTGGGGCTGGGGGACCTCAGGGCCCGCCCCGCGGGGGGTCCTGGTTCCGGGGGGGAAGGGGAGAGGGGGCCGGGCCTCAGTTTCTCCACCAGTACCGGTCGCCCTCGTCCTCTGCGCCCGAGGAGTACCAGCGGCCGTCGATGACCAGGTTGGGCTTGCGGAGCTCCGCCTCCTCCAGCAGCTGGACGATGTGCTCGGGGAACTGCCACTTCCACAGCCTGCGGGCGGGGCGGGGGGGCGGGGCTCAGGGGGCGGGGAGAGGCTCAGGGGGCGGGGCGGGGGGGCAGGGGGTCAAGGGGCGGGCCAGAGAACACAGGGGGCGGGGCCGGGGGCAGGGCAGGGGGCAGGGAGAGGCTCAGGGGGCGGGGTGGAGGCTCAGGGGGCAGGGAGAGGCTCAGGGCAGGGAGAGGCTCAGGGGGCAGGGAGAGGCTCAGGGGGCAGGGAGAGGCTCAGGGGGCAGGGAGAGGCTCAGGGGGCAGGGAGAGGCTCAGGGCAGGGAGAGGCTCAGGGGGCAGGGAGAGGCTCAGGGGGCAGGGAGAGGCTCAGGGGGCAGGGAGAGGCTCAGGGGGCAGGGAGAGGGCTCAGGGCAGGGAGAGGCTCAGGGGGCAGGGAGAGGCTCAGGGGGCAGGGAGAGGCTCAGGGGGTGGGGTGGAGGCTCAGGGGGCAGGGAGAGGCTCAGGGGGCGGGGCCGGGGACAGGGAGAGGCGCGGGGAGAGGCGCGGGGAGAGGAGCGGGGGGGGGGGGGGGGGGGCGGGGGCGGGGGCAGGGGCACAGGGCTTTGCTTCAACCGCCTCCCTCGCATCCCTGGATCCCCTAGCGGACCTGACCCCCCCCCCCCCTTTTTATTTATTTTTTAAAATTCTCACTGGAGGACTTTTGCCATTGATTGTTAGAGTGGAGAGAGGAAAAGAGAGAAACCTCGATGTGGGAGAAAACATGGATGGATTACCTCCTGCCCGCGCCCTACCAGCCTGGGAGGAGCCTGTAACGGAGGTTCGTGCCCTTGGCCGGAATCGAACCCGGGACCCTTCAGTCCGCAGGCTCAACGGGCTAGGGCTGAACCTCCCCCCCTCCCCATCTTTTTTTTTAAATCAGTAAATATATCCTTGGGTGAGGATTTAATTTTTAAGATGTATTTCTGTTGATTTCAGAGAGGAAGGCAGAAGGAGAAAGATGCGTCCACGAGGAGAGAGAATCGTGGACCGGCTGCCTTCTGCAGTACATGCCCTTGGCCGGAATCGAACCCGGGACCCCTCAGTCCGCAAGCTGATGCTCTGTCCCCTGAGCCACACCGGCTCAGGCTGTTTTCAGATTTTTGAGGATCAGCATCGCGTGTGTGTGAGGACCTGCCCCTCTCGCTGCCCCCCCGCTGTCTGTGAGGGAGCCCTGTCCCCGGAGGCCGGTCGGACGGACGGCCGGACGGCCGCGGACTCACCCGATGACCCGCAGCTTGGACGCGGGGCGCGCGAAGGCC